GCAGCCTTGGCTTTCCTGGTTTGCTCCCTGCAGGACCGGACCAGTGCAGAATAATCTTCCCTGGAGGTGAATCCCATCCTCCATCCTTTGTAGGCCTTTCTTTTTAGCCTCAGGAGGTCTGCTAGATCCCTGGAGAGCCAGGGGGGCCACTGTGCCCTCTTGCTGCCTTTCCTCCAAGATGGAATAGACTTAGCTTGTGCATGGAGGGTCGCTCCCTTGAGGAGCAACCACTCTTCTTGAACTCCCCTCCCTCTGGGGTCGTGGTCCCTTAGGGCCTCACTGATAAGCCTCCTGAGTTTGTCAAAGTCAGCTTTCCTGAAGTCAAGGGCTTCTGTGTTGCTGACCGACTTGCCAGCTTTATGGCGGATGGTGAAGGTGATCAGCTCGTGGTCGCTGTCACCCAGCTTCCCATCGATCACTAGGTCACCAATTAGGTCATCCCCAGTAGCCAGTACCAGGTCGAGCAGTGCTTTGCTTCTCATTGGCCCATAGACTTCTTGAGTCTAAGAGGAACATAGGCACACCCCATTCAAAATCCCATTTTGGTTACAGCCAACACCCAGTTCTTCCAGGGAAGATGAAAAAACCCTATGACATGTAGGAATAGGAAGAGAAAAGAATTCCTTCCAGCCCCCCTGTGACAACCAACACATCTCAGAAGTATGAGAAATACCTAAAGTAGAGCATAGGCATAATTACTCCTAGATAATCCCTGACCTCTTGGCCAACCTTTTCTTAAATACTTCCAATGATGGAGAGTCCATAGCTACACCATTGCCTCACTGTTTTAACAGTGAAGAAGTTTTTCATGATATCCAATCTAAATCTACTTTGCTGAAATGTCAAACTATTGGGTCCATGCTCTGCTCTCTGCAGTAAGAGATAAAAGGTATTTTTCCTCCTTATGACAGTTCTTCCAATATTTGAAGACTGCTGTCATGTCTTCTCTTGACTATTTCTTACAAAAGCTGAACATGCCTATTTCCTTCATTCTCCTCTCATATGGCTTGCCTTCCAGGCCCTCTATCATTTTGTCACCTGTCTGGACCCTCTCTAATGTTTTCTAGGACTTTTTAAATTATGGAGCCCAAAACTTCAGACAGTACTCTAGATGAGGCCTGACCAGTGCCAAGTAAAGAGGCATCAACACATCTCATGCGTTGCACCTAATGCTCCTATTCATGCATCCCAAAACCACATTCACCTTTTGTGGAGCTATATTCCACTGCAGATTTATATTGGATCTGTGATCTACAAAGACTCCCAGATCCTTTTCTGTGGTACTGCTATCCAGCCAGGTGTCACCCATTTTGTATTTATATTTTTGATTATTCCTGACATGTAACACCTTGAACTTGTCAGCATTGAACTTCATCCTGTTAGCTCCGTCCCAGCCTTCCAATCTGTTAAGAATCTTTGCAGTTGTGCTCCTCTTCCAATGTGTTTTCAATACTTCTTAGTTTCATGCCATCAGCAAACTTGCTCAACAAGCTATTTCTGCATCCAAATCATTAATAAGCATATTGGACAGCACTGAGACCAAGACAGAGCCCTGTGGGACTACTTAAAACCTGCCATTCTGACACGGATCCATTTATAATCACCCTTTGCTTGCAAGTATCAAACCACTTGTCTATCCACTTTATAGTACTGTCTAGCCCACATTTCTTCAGTTTGTTTATAAGTCACATAGGACCTTGTAAAAAGCCTTGCTGAAATCCAGATATGCTATATCCAGTGCATTCCCTTCATCCGACCGAGTACTTACTTTGTTGAAGAAGGAGATAAAGTCAGAATCATAGAATATTAGGGTTGGAAGGGACCTCAGGAAGTCATCTAGTCCAACCCCCTGCTCAAGGCAGGATCATCCCAACTATATCATCACAGCCAAGGCTTAGTCTAGCCAGGTCTTTAGAAATTCTAAGGGTGGGGAGTCCACAATCTCTCTGAATAACCTGCCCAGTGCTTCATTACCGTCCCCATGAAAAAGTTTTTTCCTAATATCTAACCAAAACTTCCTTTGCTGCAACTTGAGATCATTGCTCCTTGTTCTGTCAGCTGCCACCACTGAGAGCAGTCTAGCTCTATCCTCTTTGGAATTGCCCTTCAGGTAGTTGAAGGCTGCTATTAAATCCCCACTTAGTCTTCTTCTCTCCAGACTAAATAAGCCCAGCTGCTTCAGCTTCTCCTCACAAGTCATGTCCCTGAGCCCCCTCACCATTTTTGCTGCTCTCTGCTGGACTCTCTACAATTTGTTTACATTCTTTCTGTAGTGGGAGCCAAAAACTGAATACAGTATTCCAGATGTGGCCTCACCAGCACTGATTAGAGAGGAATAATTAGTTCCCTCAATCTGCTGGTAACACTTTTACCAAAGCAATTTGGTATGCCATTATCCTTCTTTACAAGAGCACGCTACTGGCTTATATTCAGCTTATTGTCTACTGTAATCCCCAGGTCCTTTTCTGTAAAGCTGCCCATCAGTCCTTAGCCTGTATCAGTGCCTGGGATTGTTCTGTCCTAAGTGCAGGACTTTGCACTTTTCCTTACCGATCCTCGTAAGATTCCTTTTGGCCCAATCCTCCAATTTGTCTAGGTCTTTCTGAATCCTGGCCCTACCCTCCAGAATATCTACTACTCCCCGCAGCTTGATGTCATCAGCAAACTTGCTGAGGGTGCACTCCATCCCATCTTCCAGGTTGTTGATGAGGATATTGAGCAAAACTGGCCCCAGAATCAACCCCTGGGGCACTCCACTTGATACTGGCTTCCAACTAGACATCCAGCCATTGATTACTACCCTTTGAGCTGACTATCCATTCAGTTTTCTATCCACCTAATAGTCCATTCATCCAACCTGGGCTTCCATAGCTTGCTTGCAAGAATGTTGTGAGAGACCATATCAAAAACCTTGGTAATATCAAGGTATATGATGTCCACTGCTCTCCCCACATCCACAGAACTGACAGTTCCTAATCACCTTCTCCTCCACATTTTTGGAAATGGATTTCTTGAGGACCTACTCCATGACCTCTCCAGGGATTGAAGGGAGGCTGACCAGCCTGTAGTTCCCCGGATCCTCCTCCTTCCCTTTCTTAAAGATGGACGCGATATTTGCCCTTTTCCAACTGTCTGGGACCTCTCCCAATTGCCATGATTTTTCAAAGATTTGGTACACTTTGTTCTTACTACCAGTAAATCCATGCCAGATGCTTGTGATCTGCATTTCCTCATCCAGATGTTTGTAAATAGAATTTCTTATAATGTGTTTCAGTAACTTTTTGGGTCTTGAGGTGAAGCTAACCAGTTTATAGTTCCTCTGGTTTTCCTTTTTCCTTTTTTGAAGAGGGGCACTATGTTGGCATTTTTTAAGAGGGGCATTATATATACCCAGTCTTCTGGCACCTTGCCCATCTCACATGACTTCATAAATATTATTGACAAGGGCTCTGAGATCTTCTCTGCCAGTTCCTTCAGTACTCTGGGATGAATTTCATCAGGCCCTGATGACCTGGATTCATTCAGACCCATCAAAAGCTCTCTAGCTGTCTTTTTTTTTTATCTCATCCCACAGCTTGTCCCCTTCCTTGTTCAAATAATCAATATCAGGTGTCTGACTGCAGCTTTTTTTTTGGTGAATATTGAGGCAAATAGCATATGGATCATTCTATCTAGTCTTGCTGGAAGAACAGATGCTATAAGCAGCATTGCTTTACTGAGGAAGGGCTTAAAAGACTCATTTAGCATTTTGCCCATTTGAGTCACAGAGGGATTCAGTTATTATCCCAAAGTCCTCAAGGAGGTTGGTGGCATATCTAGAAACTGAACTCCGGCTTCTTAACTTCAAATCCAGTGTCATATTCCAAAGCAGCTTGTTTCTACTGGAGGCACTAAGTGACCCTTCAGGTTTAGTGCCTCATGTGGCCACTTACTGAAAGTACCTATGAAGGCCATCACTGAATATACAAGCCCATGGAATCCCTTCCTCTACTGAACAGAATCACTAGTTAAACTATGTATTGATTTCCTCTTTGCAGAAGAGGTGGAGTGGTGAATAGACTGTGGCTAAGTGAGTGAAGGATTATAAGGACTAGATGAACCATGTGAAAGGCAGACAGAACGTGGGTCTCCTCCCCTCTCCCCCAACAATTTTAGGAGAATGTTTCAACTCTGTACTAGGAGCCTACTTGCATCTAAAGTAATAAAACAGGAGGTTAATCTCCATGTTCATTTAACCATGGGTTTCTGCTCTATCTACTTCACTAATGGACTCCTGACAATGATCTGAAAGAATGAGATTCCACTAAAATAAATGAGGCATTTAGTGAAATTAGTCCTTATGTTATAGCAAGGTGTCAGCTCTGCTATAAGTTAAATCTGAGCTTGCTTTCTGTTTAAAAGGTAGGCTACTCTAAGAGTCCTAACATCAGCATGTTTCATCATCTTGAAAACTGCTCTGTCTCCATAACTTACATTTGGGTGACCTGAGCAAGGGCTTCCCACGATACTATCCCCTGGAAAAACAACATTTTACTAAATGAATTCAAAAGCCTGGATTCTCAATCTCTTGAAGGCAAAAGTTCAAGTTATGCTGACTTGGAAGATACTTAGGTTTAGACAACCACAAGGTATTAAGCTCAATATAGTAGTAACTGGATGAAACTGTACTGTGTATATGTATTATATAGGAATTCAGACTAAATAATCTAATTGTCCTTTCTGGCCTTAAAATCTAGAAGTGCATAATAAGTCAATAGAAGGAAAAAGGATGTGCCCTCGTTATCATTGCATTCCACATTTATATGGCAGCATTTTTCCATATGCATTTTAACTGCATTTGCAGTTAGCTGACTGAAGGTAGGATGAGTTGGAGTAGTTTGACACAATGGAAATATGCTAAGGGCTGCATGTGCCTCAGACAATATGCTTCAAGCATTCTTCATTTCAGCACCAAATTTTATAGGTTGTCTCAGTAGAGGTTCACAGGATGTCTTTTTCCAGGTCTTTGTCAGCAGTCAGGTGATGTACATGGCAAAATTCTATAAGGAAAGATTTAAAGCAGTCTCAGAAGGAATTCCCAGAAGAAGTGTGGCAAAGAAGTAACATGGCAAACCTGGGGTGGCTAGGTTGGAATACATTTAATGCTTTGAGCATAAGCTGCCATCACCACCCAAAAGCAGACAGCAGAGATCTGAAGCCAAGAAATGAAGAATTAAAGGAATACAAATTTCAGCCTCTGGAAGCCAGGAGATACAGAGGTGAGGAAAAAAATTATCCCCGTGATGCAACCTTAACTCTATTTGCTTTGAGTGATGCCAAAATATGGATATACATACAAATTAGAACATCCAGTAGCATCAGATGCTGCAAAAACACTCTGGGAACAGACCACAATAAAGCTGAAGGATAAATTCTATCATACTCTCATTGCTAAGGCAAAACTTATAGTCAAGTCTGAAGCAAATAGGGGTTAGAGTTAAGCTGACATCATGAAGATAGTATGTTTCTCACCTCTGTATCTCCTGATTTCCAGGTGTTTGAGTTTGCATTCCTTTAATTCTTTCTTTCTTGGTTTCAGATCATTATGGTGGTGATAGTAAACTATTGGACAACCATAATTCTATGGTAAGGATTGTTGCTATTTAATTGAATATACACAACTAAATTTACAAATTCAAAGTTAACTGTTTGTGCATGCTGTCTTGGAGACAGCACAAGGTTTGGACTCCAGGAGACCTGGAAGTTTTATCTGCAGCTCTGTCACTGACTTGCTACCTGTCCTCTACTTTACTTTTCTAGGCCTCTCTCTGCCCTCCAACTCTGACTATTCAGACTGAATCCTTCATGTCAGATGCTGTCTTTCATTAAGTGTTCATCCTATGCCTACCACAATGGATGCCCAGACTTGGGAGAGGCCTCTACTGTGAAAGAAAAAGTTTAAACATTACTAACTGAAGAGCTAGGGCTATACTCAGGGGATGTGCAATCTCCTCTTTTTTTCTAATTTCAAAGCTTCAGCTTTCAAAAGTGTATCTCACCCAATGAGGGGGTGTGTTTCCCAACAAAAGGGTTAAAATTACCAATTCCATTACAGGGAGAGAGGAGACCGCTTTAACAAGGATTTAGATCTTATGCCATGCTAGGTACCAACTAATCAATACTAGTCAAAGGTGAAGGCCAGAGAGCAAAGCCAGGAATTGTTGCACAAGCTAAGCAAAGTTTAGTGAACCAAAAACTTGATAAAACATATGTTTAACTCCATTTTCTGTGAAACGTTCCACCCTTTCTTTAACTTGGTCCTGGAACAGGGACCATGTGCATTGATCCTCCTGATGAGTGACACAGGCACACAGAGATTTCATTGGAAGTCCTTAGACTACTCTATGTACAACAGTTCTTTATTACCCCTCCAGTTAACATGCCCTGACTTTTGCATGTAGCTCTCTATTCATGAAAGTCTGGATCCAAACTCTTCTGGTAAAAGGGCTTGCAAGCAGTTTACTTTCTGTCCAATGGCTTCATCGCAAAGGATTTTTTTACCGTATCAAGTTTGCCATACACAGACTTTCTCTCCTCTCATTCACCAGAGTGTCCCTGTTTCTGGAAATGATTTGTGGTTTGGAAATGCCCTTTTAGGCTTCAAAGAACTTAAAATTTGCCATACCAGATCACACAATTGGAACAGTCTAATTTCATCTCCTCTTGTAAAATATACCTGGTGCACTTCAGAAGTTAACAACATGTACCATCAATATTTGGTTCTTATATCTATATTTCTATCCGCAATGATTCAGGAAATCATTACTCTCTCCACCCTAGTCCTTATTAGATTCTACTAGATGTTGGGAAGGGTTGTTATAGAAAGCAAGTGAAGGATGATGGGCTCCCCCTTATCCCCCCTCATAAATATGAATAGGTATAATGAAAACACAGAACATCACAGGAGGGCTTCCAAAATCATAGCAAAACATAGCACAGCCCCTTTCAGGACTGGTTTGGCTAAACTCCCCCCATTCAAAGAAGTTGGCAAGAAAATTAGGAATTTTGTCTGGGGTAAATTCCTGTATGTGAGGATTTTAAGTCTCGGGTAAATTCATGAAATTCTGGATTGTACGGTAGAAGGAGCCTACAGTTGTACACATACAATTCATACATGTTTCTGTTTTGCAATCCTTGGATTTAAACATGGGTAAGCAGCCCATTAGTAGCCATGTCCCATATTCAGCTAGTCTCCTTCCTCACTTCTCTTATACTCTTGTGCCATCTATATGGGCATCTACAGGTAATGTTCTCTGCCTCCTTTATTCACATCAAGGTAGTAGCTTGCTCGGTTCGGACTGTTTGTAAAGTAAGGTGCTGCGCAGTGGAACTAAGACATCAGAATGAGTCCCTAGGGAAAACAGTGATCCTGAAAAGAGCATTTCTGTTGCTCTCCAGCCCTGACACCTCTGCAGCGGTACATCCACTTAAACATGGGTCACCTAGAACTGACTCCGAGAATAGCCCTGCTGGGAATGATATATATTTATACTGGACTTCTCTGCCCTATTGACACAGGCTTGGCATTACCTCCAGTGTTGTCAGGCAGGTTGCCTGTATCCATGTGAACCTGAACTGGGATTTGTATTTTTACCTGTAAGGGATGAATGGAGACTCAGGGCACAATTCATGGCAGCAGAGAAACTGGAACTGGAGTTCTCTGTGTCGTACTGGTTCTTGTGACATATGGTTTTATATTGCCACCTCGTGGTGAGAATGCATGCAAAACAGCTGAATAAAGATGGCTGACTAACAAGTTAGGGCTGTGATGTATTTATTACAACTCGTAAGAGATGTAATGAAGAATTTTGCCAGGTACTGGATGCTTCTTGCTCATTCAAACAGCTGAGTATTTCCTGTGACTTGATGTGTTGCTCACTGGTTACATTATTTTCCCCCTAGAATGTAAAATGGGGCAGCTCTGTACCAGGTCTGCAAAGGTACAGAAATCTGGAGACTTTTATAACAATGACCTAATGCCTCAATTTGCATGTGATGTTATTGTCAAATGTCTTGGAATCCAACATGAAGTGTTCCTACTCCCCATTTTACAGCACAGGTGTCTGCTACCACAATTGTCAACAGCTGAAAATGAGGTTGGGACCATTCCGACCAAAGAAGCCAAGAGGACGATGAAGGTCTAGGTCTCCTTCACGTGCATGTGGTTGAGGAGTGAATGAGTACAATTGATGTCCCAATGGGAACAAGGGAACAGAAAACCCACAGTATGTTCCCTCCTTCTGCTGTTGCATGGAGTGGAAAGTTGTGATAACATACTGAAAAAGTCACTTACAAGTGCTACTGCAAGGGCTACTGCAGTCACGCCATGCACTGATTTCCACTGGGTGATGATGTGCACATTCAAGACTGCCTTGACACCAAACTCTTTCAAAAGTCTGAAGGGGTGATTTTTTAAGAGTGAAAACTATCCTCATTTATCATTTATAGTGCAAAGTGGAAGCCTCTAACATATTTTATGCTGTAAGTAGAACAAAGGCCAGTACTTTTAAAAAGTAAGTGTAACACAGCAAGAGAGGACAGTCCAAACAGAATGAAGACATGAGTTTCAAACAAGAAGGCATACAAGACATAAGACATACTGTTGTTATAGAGATAACTTGTTTCTGCTTGTGTATCATAGATTGGAGGAAAGTGTAGGCTGGAAGTGTGGGGGGAGGTAAAAAATTGATAGCTCTGGTTTGAGTGAGGCATAACACATGCACATTCCCCATATATCCCCTCAAAAGCTCTTTGCAACAACCACTGCTAATTATCCCGCGCCTCAATCTTCTCCTACAAGACATAATCCTACTAAAGGACAAAGGTGCTCTTTCCCCTCTGCAAGGAAAGGCAACATGGTGCAGGAAGAAACATGGGGAAAGGGCACAGGGAAAGGGACACCCAGGGCATGGGTGAAGTGGAGCACAGAGGAAGAAGAGGGTAGGGAAAGGGAATGTGGAGCAGCTGGGAGCTGCTGCAGCTCTTGTGTCAACTGGGGCTGGAGGCTGAAGCCAGAGCTGCTGCTACTGCCTGGCTTGGCCGAATGCTCCATGCCCTGCAGCGGAGACAGAGCAACTGCAAAGGTAGGCAGGCACACAAGGGAGACAGGAAGACACCGGGGGAGAAGGGGGTGTGACAGTAGGGGGGCAAGTGGTAAAGGGTCATGGACATGGGGCATAGGACAGGCTGCTGGGCCCCCAGCCACTGATTTCTCTAATACTACTTTCTCTGTGGCAGTGCTAGGAGGAATGAATTTAAGATGACCTTCTGATAACTAGATTCTAGACATGGAGAAATTAAAATATTTACAATTTGCCATGTCTATAATCTAATAATTGGAGGGTCGTCTTAAATTCAAGGTCATCTTAGATTCAAATAAATATGGTACATTCTCTTGTTAATTTTAAACCTGTCATCTACTAATTTCAGAAGGTGCCCCCTATCTCTAGTATTCTGGGACTTCTTGAACAACAGTCCACTGTTCACTCGGTCCATATCCTTCATGATCTTATAGACCTCTATCATATCCCCCCACATCCCCAGCCTTCTCCTTTCCAAACTAAAAAAGTGCTTGCCTTTTTAGTCTCTCCTGGTATGGCAACTGTTCCTTGCCCTTGATCATTTTCATTGTCCTTTTCTGTACTTTTTAAAATTCTAGTACATTCTTTTTTAAAGATGCAGAGACCAGAATTGCACACAGTATTCAAAATGTGGGTAACTCCATAAATTTATGTAATGGCATTATGATGTTTTCCATTTTGCTATCAATTTCCTTCTTAATGATGCCCAACATTGTATTGCCTTTTTTGGTCAGTGCTACACACTGAGCTGATGCTTTTAGAGAATTATGTAAGTTAATCAATGTCTGTTTTCTGTTTGTAATAGCTAGTCTAGAACCCAGAACCTTAACAGAGTTAAGATCCTTGGTTTTCAATGAAGAAATGAACCCCCGAAACAGAACCTACAAGGAAGAGAAATTAGCTTGTATGGCCAAAAGGAG